GTGACAAAGGGCAGCCTTGGCGGAGTCCAACTCTCACCGGAAACGAGCCYGACTTACTGCCGGCAATGCGGACCAGACTCTGACACCGGTCGTACAAGGACCTGACCCTATTTAAACATATAAACAGAATTTTAGTAACAACTGAAGGTGACATAGTTACTTTATTATGGTATAGAATTTAAATAAATGCCAGAGAAACACATAATATTGCCCCTACAATAAAAGAAAGGGCTAATGGGAACAGAGAGCAGGTGTGGGTGGGTGTAGCAGGACCGAGGAGCACAGGAAAGACTGAGGACGGCTGGAAACTCAGGCAGAGGAACAAACTGAACACAGAAAATACAGAAGATTAAACATTACAAGAAATAAACCTCAAAACAAACAAACAAAAAAATCAAACAGTGAAAAAAACGTGGATCATGACACATTAATTAAAACACACTCACGCACACGGAGGACAGAGAGTTGCGTAACAAACCCATCTAACTGCAGCGTGTTTGACATCAGCCGAAGAATCATCTTAATTGGTGTCACTGTGGGCGACTCTCAGCCTGACCCCGTGCCGAACTCTGAACTCCAGGCGCCCAAAAATATAATTAGGTTAAACAAAACTCGCTTTGCTTTTGAAGAAACTTTTGATGTTTTTAAGTGTAAATTAATGCCAAACAGAAAGTAAAATGTACAGAGATTAATTAGAGGTGAGAGGATAAGTTGTGCTGCATGGAGGGAACAAACAAGCAGATGGAGAACAGCTGAATATTTTAAATGAAATTGCAGTTTTATAGTGTTTCTTATTGTTTATACGCATATTTACTTTAATCTTTTATTCTGCTCTTTTACCCTGTCAATCCTCCACCCCACCCCCCTCCCCATGAAACCCTGCAGGCCTGATCATCTCCCTGCAGCTGCTCAGAGGTRACACGGAGCAGGTCCGCAGAGAAAACCCACTCGTTTTCAGCAGGGGGGTGGCCATCACGCGCAAATTGGGATTCCCAGACGTCATCATGCCAGGTGAGTCAGACATGCTGCAAAAAGTGTCTCATCACAGGAGGAACACCTRTCCACCCCAACTGATTTCAGTTTTTTTTTTTTTAGTTTTTGTCTGAGAACAGGATGTATGTGGGCTCAGAAAAACAACGATCAACATAAATAAAAAATTTAAAACTAGTTAGAAGTCATGAGTCAGGATTGTTTAACCCRTTTTATATGTTTATTTTAAGTATATTTTCAATAATTAGAGCCTTWATAAAAGAGGGTGTTGTTTAAGTGACTGTTTTTTAAAAAGTTTCCGCTCCTGATTTATTTTATCACGACGATTYGCAGCCGCAGCTTCCCCGCAGCGTGACAGGAAACATGATGGAGTGCATGTTTGCCCGTTCAGCATGAAAGAAATATGAGACGGCAGCACGAATACGACGGGCCGTGTGAATGTGTTTGACATCAGCCGCTTTCTTAAAGATGCATTGCTTCACTTTCTGTAAGGAGCGGACAAATTTATAAATGTACAAACTACGGTGTTTTAATTCAGCCTGCTCACACAGCGGGGTCCGATCATGTGAAAAAAAGGTTCACCACGATAGAAAACTCTCCACCAGTGTTTAAAGGTGGGGTGTTGTGTAGTTTTCAGGCACATAGTTMAATTCTATACCACAGTCAAGTAACTATGTTAYMAACAGTTGTTGTGAAAATGMTGTAAAGRTCAMAAAGAAATGTGAATTTRYCCATAGTCTCTTTAAGAACCTCCTACYGTTTCTGRCACTCCCACTTCAGCAAGTCTTTACAACAATGCATCAAGGGAGGGGTGCTCTGTGGGGCGAGAGCTCGGCTGCAGACTGAGCTCCAGGAAGGAGCTTTCTGTAAATGGGCGGGGMTTTGAGTAAATAGGCGGGGCTTTGTACCAGCAAGTGTTCATACAGCTCCACATGGCCACAGGAGACTCAAGGATTTCTCAAACATGCATGAAGGAGTCGAAGCAACCCTCTGGGTATGTTTTTGATGATTGGAGCTAAAATAAAATTGATTTTCCATAATATTGCTTCTTTAATATGAATTTAATGCCTAACATTCTTTGAAGGAATGCGTATTAACTGCTATAATTAATTGGTTATAATAAGAACTATGATTACCCTCCATCACTGATTTTATCATGCTTATAAACCGTTTTCAGTGGAGAATAAATAAATAATAAATAAATAAATAAATAAATAAATAAATAAATAAATAAATGTTTCTTGTTTTGAACTCACAAGAAAGATGAGAAACTTTGAGTTTCTGTAGCTCTGGGATCTGTTTTTCACTTTTTCTGTTGCTCTTCTAGGAAAAAAAAATTAAAATCATCATCTGATGTTGAATTTTGCCACTRAAATGTTTGAACGAACAGCGCTGGCCCAGCAGGCAGCTTCTGAATTCTTTCACGCACACAACTCTGCGAAAACTGACCTTCTTCACTCTGTCCCTAATGTGTTCATAATTAATATTCAACATTTAGCTTCTGCTCACGTCTCTGCGTCTTAGATTATTTTTTAAAATTTTGCACCGAGTTGAACATTAACCCTGAAARTGTCCTCTAAAGCAAATGGAGCAGTGTTCTGTTGTAAAACACACAATGCACTAAAGGGGGGTTTCACACCTCTTTCACACACATTAAGCTCTCCTCCCCCCCAGGCAGTGATGGAGTGGGTATTTAACGCCCATCCCCGTGTCCGCAGGGTGACACCTCCTCCATAAGGACAGGCTGGGAATGACAAATGAACCCACACACGTGTTAACACCTCATCTGTCTCCTGTGTTAAATATTCAACTTTAAATGTGTCTCCATTTGTGCTTGAGGACAAGTTTGTCCTTTAAYACACAGAATCTGTTACAACATTCAYGTTTARTWWAAAAAAGTACATTGATATGTGTCATTTTTGATGCAGTAATCATATTTRAAGAAGATAATCTTCATAGTTTTTATTGTTTGTTGGAACCAGGCGACATCCGTAACGACCTGTACCTGACTCTGGAGCGAGGGGATTTCGAGCGAGGCGGGAAGAGCGTTCAGAAAAACATCGAGGTGACCATGTACGTGCTCTACGCCGACGGAGAAATCCTGAAGGTAGGGAAGTGGTCCTGCAATATGAATGCTGCTCAGCTCGACATGAATAATGTAGGGACATACAAATAGAGAGGAGGAAGAGAGCCATAAATACTTTTCCCCCTCCATCACTTTAGCTCATTTTAACAATAATATCTAAGTTGGATCTATGGTCGACTCAAAATGACAAAATCCCTAAAATGCTTTATTTTACGTTCATTGAAAATAAAAGTAGTGTTTAACACTTTTATCTTACCTGGAATCAGCTAAAATAATGCCGGAGCTTCATTTTTGTTTCACTTGAATAAAGGTTTTGTGTCATTACATTCAGTGTGACAAAATGTCCCTTTTCCCTCAGCTTTAGTACCACTTAATAAAGAAATGATAAAAGTAATGGAAGCAGCCACATTTTCACTTCAAAGCTTTTCCATTATAGCCCACCATCAGTCTTTTTAATCAGTTTTTTCCTCACTGCACCGTTGGAACCCTGCAAGTTTCTACAGAGAGACATTAACAAACTCCAGACGACACGCCTTGATTTTTACTTATGTTTAAAAACGGGGGTCCTTGAGGGTCACTAACCTGCAGGTTTTTGAAGTTTCTCTGCTCCAGCACAYCTGATTTGAATAAAAGAGTGTGTTGGAGAGAAACTACTGAGTGCAGGGTAACGAGTCATTTCATTAAACAGCTCAGATCAGATGAAATATATCAGCCAACAATTTGCTGCACGTTCAGAGCTTTACTTTTGCTTTTTGTTTTTTCATCGTCTCTCTGGCTCCCCCTGCAGGACTGCATCAGTCTGGGTTCTGGTGAGCCCAACATCCCCGAGTACCGCTCCTTCGTGCTSTACCACAACAACAGCCCTCGCTGGAGTGAAGTGATCAAACTACCGATTCCCATCGATCGTTTCAGAGGATCCCACCTTCGCTTCGAGTTCAGGCATTGCTCAAGTGAGAACTTTACACKCCCCAAAGTTAAATCGTTTCCACCACAGGTTAAAGTGCTGCAACATAAAGCAGAAACAAATCTAGGTATAACACTAATCATTTTCTTTATGAATAGACAAAAGAAGCTGTTTTAACACAAAAAGCAATAATGAAAACATAAACTGAGCTTTGATAAATGTTTAATGTGACTCATTTCTCATTCGTTCTTATTTTCTCTGCAGCTAAAGACAAAGGAGAGAAAAAGCTGTTTGGTTTTTCCTTCACTCCGCTGATGAGGGAAGATGGAACGACTTTATCTGATGAAAGTCATGAGCTCTATGTCTACAAGGTCAGACAGAAGTATAGACTTCCTGACATTTGCTGCTTCACTTCCTGCCTGCAGACTTTAGATCTTCCCAGTCTGAATTCAGCACTCTTCTCTTCTTCATGTCTCCACCTCAGTGCGAYGAGAACACGACGTTCAGTAACCACGCCCTCTACCTGGGCCTGCCCTGCTGTAAGGATGACTTCAACAGCTGCCCCAACATCCCCTCCAGCCTCATCTTCCAGCGAAGCACCAAGGAGACGTTCTGGATCTCCACACAGCTTTCCTCCACCAAGCTCACTCAGAACGGTACAAATCTTAGTGTTGATCCTCTCACATGTATACACAAATTTGTGTTTAACCTCTCACATATATACACAAATCTGTTTAACCTCTCACAAATATACACAAATCTGTGTTTAACCTCTCACATATATACACAAATCTGTGTTTAACCTCTCACATATATACACAAATCTGATGTGTAAATGTCTGAGGAGAGCATCCATCCATCATCCATCCATCTGTCCATCCATCCATCCATCCATCCATCCATCCATCCATCCATCCATCCA